TTCCTACTTTCATATTAGAGCCTGAATTTAACTCCTTTTCACCTCCTCAACGGCTACACCCCTAGTCTACGCCACTACCAGCTTTTGCCTGGACTACGATCATGGCCTCTGACTGGTGCCTCTGCTTCCTCTTCGGGCTGCTCTCGGTAGGTAAAGCGATTCTGTTGAAACATGAAAGACCACCCCTTCCTTTGCTCAAAACACTGCTTGCTCCCATTTCACACACAGTGAATATCAAAGCCAGAGGTCCTAAATCCTCACTGGATCCGGCCCTTGTTTCCCCTCTGGCTTCCTTTCCTGCTCTTCTTGTTCCTGTTCATTTCACATGGCCACACAGGGCCTCCTGAGGTTCTTTAAACATGCTGTCCGCATTCCCACCGCAGTTCCTTCTCTGCTTTATTTCACTCCCTAGAACTTAACACTCTGCAATACAAATGTGAAGGTAGCGCAACATATATTTTACTTGTTTATTTTCTGTCTCCTTCTACCCAAATGTAAACTTCATACGGGTGGGATTAGCACAGGCTAATTTTGTTGTGCACTGGTTTGTGGGGCACTGCTGAGAAGTGCACTTGGGGGCTGAACTGTGGCGGCCGAGCACCGGGCGTGGGAGGGTCGGGAGAGTCGCTGTAGCCAAGGTCCCCCTGGTGTCACTCAGCAGGAGGGCTCCGGAGCCTTTGCCTGGGAGGGGCCAAGCAAGTGTTACTGTTGCAGGGGTGACCTTGGCTGAGGGAGGTTAGGAGGCCCTCTTCCAATCTCCCAGGTACACTATAAGCATGAGAGAGTGGGTAAGGAGAGAAAGTGGAGGTCGGGGCTGCGGGGCGGGAACGGAGGAGAGGCAAGAGTTGTGGTGGGGAAAGAAGAGAAAGGTGGAGGAGCGGGGAGACTAAAAGAGATTAAAATTGACTTTATCAAAACTAGATAGACAGGGGGCTTGGAATTGGATTTACTTGAAATGAGGAAACTTTGTATTATATGACATTTCCTACATACCTAGGTTTATGCCCAATAATTCATACTCACTACAACAGTTCTTAGTACTTGAATAATAATGGAAAAAAATAAATCAACAGAACAAATAGTGCTACATGCATGCCAAGAAAACAGAATCTCAGAATGGAAAGACAAGGGGGAAGTGAACTTTTGACATCTCCCAAACTGATGTAGGCATGCCACACATAACTGCCACTTCCTTCAGAATCTCCCCAATGATTTCATCGTAAATTCTGATGCGCACCCAAGTTGGTATTCACGTACCGTGTTCTCCCTGTGGGTGGAAGAAATGCTGCTAATGAGAAAGGGTTCAGCTTGGATTTGTTTGATGACCAGAAAAGCTGACTCTTCAATCCTTACTGTCCTGTTTTAGGAAAGGCACGCCTGTGTTTCTCAGCCTGCCTCATTCCAGCAGGAACTGCCCACAGAACTGCATGTGGACCCAGAGACCCCCACGCTCATTAGCCAGCAAGAACTGTTGATTCCTCTGGCTGAGATTTAGGACTTCTGTGTTTGCCTGCAGGGCTGTGACATGCGGAACTCTGTGCAGCTTTTGAAATCTGGCCTCCTCGCAGAACAGGGACAGCCTGTTCGGTGAGGGGAAGAGTTGCTTATTTATTTCAGCGATGGATGCCAAAAAAGAAAAATAAATCAGCTGCTCGCTTATTTGGCCAGTATTAAAGCATTAACATCTCTATTTTCTCAAGAGTTAATGATCTTTAGCAGAGGGACCAAGGTTAAGAGATTTTTTTTCTGTTAAAACCTATGGCAAGTTTATCACTGACATCTTGGAAGCACTATTTGTAGCCCTTTTTCAAGGCCATATGAAATACGCTTCACTTTTACATCCATTAGTTTCAGTGGCTTGAAATGATCCAAGTAGTATTTTGAAGGGATGGGCAAAATATTTTAAATCCTGGGAAAGGACTGACTTTGAATGATCCTATGACAAATTTTACAGCCTAACTCATCTCAAGCAAATTAAAAGTCTCAGCCCACTTCTTTTTTTAAAGACCCCTAGAGAATGAGCTACCTTACTTCTCTAAATAAGTCCCACTGCAAAATCGTTGATCATGGCAGAAAAGTACTCAGCATGTTTTCCCATTTTTTTATGTTTGTGTAACTTCCCAAAGTTAGCTGCACATTTCTATGGACTGGTTGATCCTAATCTAGGCTGAAAAGCAGCCATAGGCAATTATCACTTTAAGTAAATGGGGAAATAAATCGATAAGGATTTGTTTTCCCATGTCGATGGAAATAATGAAGCCAGGATGACACTGGCTACTACAAAAATATGTATCCTTAGACTTTCCACATTTATAAGATGGAAATGATTTAACAACAATCACAGTTCAACAAGAACACAGTCAGATTTCCAGGATAAATGCTTTCATGCCCAAGTCCGAAGTATGCTGATGCTCTCTGCCTAGATGTGTTGTTCCCTTTGGTTTACCCTCCCTGGATGTGCCTACGTGTTATTGTTTTATTATGTGTCCTTCCTTTATAGCTTTTAGTGTCGAACCTCCTGCACTACATTTGGTATGTCAGGCTGGAAACCAGAGCTAAAATAAGGCCAGAAAACCGAATATTAGTGTTTACAATAAAAATTTATTGAGCATCTACCTGCATGTGCCAGGCACTGTGCTAGGTTTGCAGGATGACAAAAATAAGTAAAACTCAGGTTCTGCTCACAAGGAGCTCACAATCTATAGGTGACAGGGGCAAGCATGTGGACAGATAACCACCCTACCAAAAGTCACAGTGCATGTTACACAGTGCTGTGGTAACACGGGTCATGTGGAGAATAACTGAGCCTTGGAAGATCATGGTATGTGTGTATGTGTGTGTAGTTTCTGATAAGGCTTCATACAAGAGAAGATTTTTAAGCTGCTACTTAGAGTGTAGGGTTTTGTCAACAAATAAAGTTGGAGAGGTGCTGGAATTTCAGCAAACATCAAAATAGGACAGAAACAAATCAAACTGGGGTATGTCATTTAAGGGAAACTGCAAGTATCTTGGAATGGGTAGAATGTAAGATTGCATGTGTTTTGTGGAAGGAAGAAAGGCTAGTAGAATAAAAGATGAAAGGATATGGAAGGTCTTTTGGTTAGCAGTGAAACTAGGAAGAGATTGGGTCCCATCAAGAAGACTTATGTTATCATGAAAGGAACCTATTAGATTTGACCAGCAAGGGTAGATCTTGCCAACTTTGAGATCAAAATGCCAATGAAACATTTCCACCCAAACTCTTTCTAATCTGAAAGGAAATCTCAGCCTTCTTCCCTGCATATAAAAGAACTCTACAGATCTTATCAGAATCGTGGACAGGTCCCCTGTTCAGGCTCATTTGTTAAAAGGAACGATCCCAGTCCCTGAACAAGTAATTCTAATGTGGTAAAGGCTCTTTTCTAAGAAACAGGGAGTACACAGCTTGAACTGGAAAATGAGCCATATAAACTAATAGGCAAACACCAAGAAATAGGTTTCACTAAAATTGTTCCATTTCCCAACATTATTCTTTTGACTCCATTATTGTCATGATTGACAAAGGGAATTTTTATTAACAAGCATGACAAGTATTTCAGTGACACAGCAAACTTGTGTCAAGCCATTACATAAGATGAAGAGAGGACAGAGGTTTAAACTGTACTGCCTTCTTCACACAACCTAGTCTTCAGAGGGAAATTTCTTTAAAAGGCAGAGAAAACTTTGAACAACATGTTCAGTTGAGAGCATCTGGAAAACAGCAAGACATCAGAGTCCAAAATTAACTGATAATGAATTTAGTATTTGTATTTTGGATGGTCATTTATTTGATTGGTTGAGTTTATTGGTAGTAGAAAATCTGAATGATTGGACTGAACAGGTTGGAGGATCTACACAAGGCAATGGGACATTCCTGATAAACAATATAACATGCCCAGAGGAATTTCAACATCCTTTTCAAGTCACATGATTTAAAACAGAGCTATCAATCTGTGAGAATATAAATTCACTGCTCCCTACTTTCAGGGTTCCTGGATGAAGTTCCACTATGACCTTTAACTTACAGAATTGTTATTTATCTCATGAAACAGTGATGGGCTGAATGATGGAAAATTTCATGTCACGGTTACCCCAATGCATTTGATGATGGTGCAATGATCAAAAAAGATGCCAGTGATGACAATTGAACGTCCCTTTGCCTTCCCAGCCTCCTTCATATATTCTCAGGCATAGGATGACAAAGGGAAGTCCACGAGTCACATGAAGGAAGCCTGTAGCCATGGGCACACGACCAGGAGCGCCTCTGCCTTCACTCCCACCTTCCATGCCATGCCATCGCCCTGACCTGCATCCTCCCCATGTTGCTCCTGTGAGTTTTCCACCGTCTTGCTGTTAACCACCGTCCCCTGCCCAACGTTCTGCCGATGAGTAATGCCACTTGAACTGATGCTCAACCATGCCTGGCATGGAGTTTGTGTCAAAGAGTTGTTGAATGAAATAATGACCCCCCAAAGCCCTCCAAGGTAGCAAGATGTTGGGGAGTGTCTTTTTGGATGAAATAATGCTTTCTCACGTGGAGTGAAGAGAGCAAGATTTTTGGAATCATACCAACCTAGGTTTTAACTGGCTATGTCACTAGCTGGATTTAAAGCAAGGACTTAATTGCTCTGAGATGCCATTTCAATATAAAAAGGAAAGATAATACTTCCTACCTGGGAGGCTTTTTGTGAGTATTAAAAGAGATAGTTTATATGAAAATGCCTAGCACAGTGCCAAGAACATACTAGGACCTCAATAAATGCTCATTTCCCTCTTCCCTTTCTTACGTGGTATTTTAGGATGGTTCATAATAGGGAGTGACTTATCTCTGACACGGTTGGGTATCTTAGAAGAGATAGAGATCAAAGCAGTCATAGGGAGGGATAGTGTTAGAAATTTTTAAAAGAAATGAGTGTTTCTATGGTTAATTTTCTTGGTTGGAGTTTAAGAGGAAATTCATGTTGTCCATTAATTATACTTACCAATTGGGTCTAATTGGCAACTACCCCAAAATGAATAAAACAAGCGGGAGTCAAGAGAGAAAAACGGCAGGCATCCTGTCAAAAAATAAAATCTTTGAAATTTCTACAGCCCAATGGTCAGATACACATTTTATTAAAGCAGACTGATCACCCAACCTATGAATTCATCCATGGGACAGCAAACCAAGTTGCACATTTGGACTCAATTAAAGGATCAGATAGCCCTCGGGACAAGCCATAGCTCTTGTCTTATCACTCCTTCCCGGGAACAGGTCCTTAATTTCAACATGTCCTACGCTGGAGGGAGCAGCCTTCATTATTCTGTCTCAGCCTAGCTGATGGCTGTGGTGGTGAAAGGGTTAAAGCAGTTACTCGATGTTAGGTGCTTGCTTATACAATGCTTGGCACCAAGTAAAAGCTCAAGAAATATTAGCTGTTGTTATAAGAATTACAGTAGTTAAATATGAATCCTTCAATTCCATGTCTTCTAATACTGAACAAGAACTGGATTCCCCTCCTACCTCCTTCTTAAAACATTTTTCTGAATTCTGAAGATAATGTGTCCTATTCTCAGATGATTAGATACTTTTGACCTAAAAGAAGTACTTTTTCAGAGGCTAATGTACTTAATTTCTTTTATTTTAAAGAAGAATCAAAACTGATGCCAACATGTCACTCAACAGGCATAATATTTACTGAAGAGATCCCCTCATGCCCTGCTGTCTCTCATTTGCCAAGGAAAGGACTGATTAGATGGATATAGTTGTATATGGAGAGTATATGGCTATCTATCTGTCACATTTATTTTTGTCACCTCTTTTCCATGTATGTATGTATGTATCTATCTATCTTCAAAGAAGTCATCAAAGCCATTTCATTATAAATAGGTTTCCTATCAGTTTTGCTATTCTATCCCAAACTGGGAGATACACTTAATGGTAATATCATGTCTCTGGAGTTGTTAAGTTACTAAAAAAACTATCTTTGGTCTAGATGACTCAGGCAGTATCTTGCTCCAAATCTAGGCCTCACGGGGAGTCCTGTGAGCATGAACAGCTCTGCTTCAGCTCGCTTATAGTTTCCTCCCCAGAAGCAATATTTGTGGAGGCCTCAGATGCTCAGGGTAGGTCTTCTGGCCCTAGCTTCCTAGGATTAAGCCAGACTTCTGGAGCAGCTTCAACTTGCAGATTGTTTAGGCTGAGGGTAGCTGGTTGGCGAGAGGCATAGTGGGAATGGGGTCTCACATCACTTTTCATGGAACATCGCGTGGTAATTCCTTAGTGCCACAGTCTGGCAGAACTGCCTTCTCATAAGAATGTACTCATTGGGGAAAACACAAAGCAATATTCCTGCAAGCACAAAATGTGAGGGTTGGTTCCTCAGTAACTACTGTATATTTTCCAGAAAGTTATTAATTAGCATATTCCTGAGAACATAAATTTAGCTTGGGAGGATTCTCCACCACTGTGTACAACAATTAGACTATTTGCTAAATACTCTGAGCAGAGCCTCAAACAGACAACACAAACCCTCCTGAAAATTTAGTCCAAGTACTTGTTTAGGGCAAGCATAAAACTGGCTTAGCTGTATCTTTCCTGCACAGTGTTTTCACTCGGGTATTTTTAGTTTATCTTTTTCCCCTAGGTACCAAACCCTAAGGAACAAAAGCTAAAATGATATCTTAGTGAACATCAACCAGATTTGTTGAAGATTTCTTGCTCAGTTAAAAATGGAAATGCCTGGACATGTGATGACTGTTGATTGTGACCCCGATTGTCTTGATATTTCCTTGGTCACCTTTCAGGAACCAGTGTAGGAAACAATCTCAAGGGGAAAAATGGGGGAGAGGGTATGGATTTTGCATACCCTCTCCCCCATTTTTCTCTCATATATCTCTTTCTAGATATACAGATACAGATACATAAAATCCCATATCCCAGTTCTGCTTCTGCCTCCATCTATGTATCTATACCTATCTAGATACCATAATCTTCCATTTTATTATCTTATGCTATAGTTTACCTTCATATCACCTTATTAAGGATAGTCAATAAAAGGGAAACAAAAAATATATATCTTTTCTTTATGATTTGATAATAATATTTCCTAAGAAATTATGTCTAGTCCACATGTAGACCTTACTTATATTTACAGCTGAAATTGTGCTCATGCAGAAGGGATTCAGGGAAGTAAAATAAATTTAATTAGACCATTTGTTGTGCATTATATTTCAGAATATTGAAAGCTTTCATCTACAAGGCTTGCAATCCATTTCCTGCATTCCACCTATCAAAATCTTATAATACCTCTGTCACTTAACTCCCGTGAACATTCCCCCAGAAATGCTCTGTCTGAAGTTCTCTTGTACTTCATTTCATTAAAGGGCATGTAACACTTGTTGCCTTATAATGCAGCTAGTTATGGTTAACTTATTTGTAAAACCAAGTTCTTAAAGTGCACAACTATGCCTTATTTATCTTGCAACCTCTACAGATTTTTGTATATTGTAGACACACAAGCAAATACTGGTAGATTTGTAGAAGTACTGTCAAGGGGAAATAGAACAGAGAGCAATCACAATTTATTTTAAATGACACATATTTTGAGTCCTCATTTTTGCTGCATTTGGAAAAGCTAGAGAACTTTTGACATGCATTTTGGCTTTATATGAAGCATCTTAAAAGTACAGTGGAGTAAAGAATATAGTGGGAGCTCTTTTATCTACAGTGAGCATTACAGACAATACTCAGCATGAAACAGCTGTTAAATGAAATGGCTGTTGTGTGAGCCAGCTCCATCACAGGGACTAGGACCTGGGGAGAGGGGAGTTGGGCTTTGGGGGACCCAGGAGCACAATAAAGGGAGATTGACAATTCTAGCTCCGCTAAACTGTACCCATGGCAGAGATATTAAAGTAGGTCATTTTCAGTAACCCCATTATACTAGGATATCTAGTTATGGCTAAGGATTGGGAATAAATTAAAGCTGTTTTGTCATTCACCCACTCCAAACAGAGAAGATAATTCTGGTTCTGATTTTAGCTGTTATCAAATAGTAAGCACCAAACTGTTCCTTGGTCTCATAATTTTTGTACACATCCTTTATGCATGATTTTAGAGTATTATTTTCTGTGATGTGTCCTTAACCAGCCTCTTCCCTTAGGTTTCCTGACTTGACTCTTTCTTTTTGTCTTAGATGAAGCAGAGGATTGCCAGCAGACTGAGTGAACAAGAGAAAAAAAATTATGTGAAACACAGCTGTGCTAGCTCCTTACCCACAGGTCAAGGGTGAAGTACACACACTTAAGGGAGGAGATGCTGAACTCCTACATTACAGGGACAGGCTGACTACTTCCGAAGGTTCCCCTCGTCCCTTCTCTCTCATTTTCTCACTTTTCTCCTTCCCTTCCTCCTTCATTTCCTTTATTTTTTCCTTTCTCCCTCCCTCCCTTTCTTTCTTTCTTTTTTTCTATTATAAAAGCTATATTTGCTGATTATAAAAAACTACATTGAGAAGATTTTTAAAGATATAACTTCAAAGTGTCAGTTCCTATCTCCCTCACCTTATCTCACTCCCTACAAGCTGTGACTAATAATTGTTAACCTGTATCCTTTCAGATATTTTATAAGCATATACACATACACACACACACATATAATTTTCTAAAAATATAAATGTGATCATAAACACACAGTTTACTATTGTACAATAGGCTTTAAGTAAAAAATTACCCTTGGATATTTTTCTATATGAGGACAAACAGAGCTACTGCATTATTCATAATAACTTCAGTGTATTCCACTGTATACCTACATATAATTAGTCACTTACTGGTGAGTCTTTGGGTTATTTTCATTTTTACTTCTGTAAGAAATATGTAATAGATATGCATAGAATAAATTCCTAGAAGTAGAATTACAGGACCAAAGAATATTCACATTTACAATTTAATAGGGGTAGTCAAATTGCCATCCAAATAAGATCGACCATATTTACATACCAGTACATATTTCCACATATAGTTATTGGCACTATATATTTTTTCACCTGCTTATTGCCAATCTGATAGGTTAAAAAAACATCTCATTGTTGTCTTAATTTTCATTTCTTTAATTTTGAGTGTGGCTGAGCATTTGTATTTCTTTCCTGGTGATATTTCTATTGATATATTTTGCCCATTTTCTCATAGGACTTTTTTGGATTTATGGTCACCCTTTGTTATTGTGAAAATTAGCCCTTTGTCATGATTGCAGATATTTTCTTTGCTTTGCCATTTGTTTTTCCAGTTTGTTTATAGTATTTTCTAATGGGGCTGCTAAATGCTGACTCTATTTTTATAGCAACTTAGCTTGTATGAGTGAAAAGTCACAATCTCTCTGAGACTGGTATTATAAAAAGATAAAGGAAAAAGCAGGCAAGACAGAAACAAGGCAAAGTAAACTATTCTACATATAGAAATTCTAGAGAGGAAAGGTGAGTTGTTTTTTTTTAAAGCTTTTGCTTGTGGTTTTATTAAATCTATAAGGCAACAGCTCCTTCTAGAATTTGTTCACTTAGCAAGAGAGAAGGGAAAGCCCAACTGTCTATAGCTCTACCTTTGAGGTTCTATTGAATAACACAAACTAAAATCAAAAGAAAAACTAACTAGGGTTGGATCAATAATGACACGTGTATTGGTCTCTAAAGCAAGGTGACCCAATTCACCATTTATTAAGGGAAGCTCCACTGAGTAACATTTTTATAACTTTCAGTGCCAATAAACACTCTCAATTTTATATTTAAGGGCATTCAGAAGGTTTCAAGAGCCCTTCAGCTGTATTTTGCCAAATTACTCATTATCACTTAGGGATTATTACAATGTAGGAATGTCAAATTGGCTAAGGGGTATAAGAAGGTTTTAAATCCCTCACAACTCATCGGTCATCATGTCTCTCCTCAAACATTTACTCGGCAGAGATAGAGGGCGCTCTTGTTTCCCTAAGACAGGTCTGTTGTCCTTTTTCTCCAACAGGGTCAAGGCCCTGTTATAACCTTTCCTCCTCAGGATGGATATGAGAGGCTGACCAATTACATTC